TAATTTTGAGGGTGCTGCTGCAGCACAAACGTAACAAGGACAGAACAAACATAAGCAGTAAATGCACCACTCCTTCCCAAGATCAGCTTTCAGGGGAAACCCATCAGAGAACTGAAGGCTTTGGATTGTACACATAATATTTAGGATAGCTAAAACTACCACCAGAAAGCTGACCTCACCTCCCCGTGCATGCAAAGAAGAGACCAAGGCTGAAGCCATCAGACCCTCTAACACGTAATTCTCTGTAAGCTGCCAAGGTCTGCAGAGTGATTCTAGATCTGAGGTAGGATTCTCAGTGCATTTCTGCACAGAGAGGACAGTTTGGCTATTGTAACTGCAGAGCAGACAAAACATGTTTTGCTGAGAATAACTGAGAGCCCCTGCCAAGTTCCCTCAAATAACCTGAAAGAACAAGTCTCAAGTCTGGTTGCCTTGAGTCCTGCTAAGGTGCACAGGTGTAACTGAGGCAGAATGTGTCCTGCAAGCAGAGGATGAAAGCACAGGATGTAACCAGTTTGCTGACAAAGCTCATGATGAGAAAAACAAGACTTGAAGTCTGTTTGCAGTGCTATAACATGCTGTTGTCTGGCTATTCCTCAGACACTTCGAGAAAAGAATGGACTCATCTGCATTAGTCCGGTCATGCAGAGAATCAAAGAATCTTGGAAAGGACCTGTAAAGGCCATCTAGTCCAACTGCCCTGCAATGAACAGGGAGACCTACAATTAGATCAGGCAGCTCAGAGCTCCATCCGGCCTGACCGTGAATGTCTCCAAGGACGGGGCATCCACCACCCCTCTGGGCAACCTGTGCCAGTTCTTCACCACTCTTAGTGCAAAAATCTTCTTCTTTATATCCAATCTAAGTCTCCCCTCTTTTAGTTTGAAATCATTTCCCCTTCATTTCCCCTATCACCACAGACTGTGCTAAAGTTTGTCCCCTTCTTTCTTACAGTCCCTCTTTAGATACTGAAAGGCCACTATCGGTGTCCCCAGAGCTTCCCCTTCTCCAGGCTGAGCAGCTCCAGCTCTCTCAGCCTGTCTTCACAGGGAGGTGTTGATCAAGAATTTTTGTGGATGTGAGAATCTAACTCAAAATGCACACACTTGCTGTAGTCTCCTTGTGTATCATACAAATCTCAAGCACTTTTGCAACACAAATGGTAAAACGTGTTCAATAGCAGTGCTAGCCTTGAGACTTTCCCAATGCGCTTGGCGAAACTACAAATCAACAAAATAAAACAAGCAGGGGAGCTGTTCCATCTAAATGCAAAGCACAAGAAGGACATCAATCCATGGGTGCAAGTAATAGCCTTTTTGTTGTTGTTTTTGAGGTCTTTAATGTCTTTATGCTTAGGACTGAAATAACCGAGATACATTTAACGCACAGCACGACAGCAGCAATATGTAATGTTTCAAACAGGAGCATCAGACTGATCTCATCAGAAACAATAATTGTTTACCAGACACAAATACCCTGTAGGTGTTAAACAAACACCAGGGACTAATGCACAAGTGACACAGAGAAAAGATTGTCTCGAGGTACTGCACACCAGGAGCACAGCTGTGGAATTTCTCTGACAGCACTGTCACAGCTCATAACATGATCCTTTCAAACACATGCATTCGTGGCAGCTGTAATTTGTTCAAACTCACAATCTGTCACTTCACCCTGAGAACAGGAGGAGAAAGCAAGCCTGTGTTCTGTTTGCTTGCTCATATCTTAACCCACCAGCACTTTTTACATTTTACAGCATTTCTACCAAAACACTGTGCAGGTATTAAGGATCAGGCAAAGAAGTGTGTTATTTCTGTTGCTTGCACACTTACAACTACACGAAAGGCAGACGCACAGGCATCCCAGGGAAAACAGCATTTCTGAGATTCCACATCAGCAAATTCAGAAATACAGCGATTACAATTCAGGTACACAGATAAACCACTGGCACCATTTAAATGAACTCTGTGTTTCTGAAATGCCAACTGTAAAAAACTGCTGATATTTAATTTCATTAGATATACTGCATCTGGTGTTTATGGCTTAGAGCTGTTGCCAGAGAGCCCCAGGAGCTTCGGTCTGGGAGCCAAGCCAGTGTCTACCAACTTAGTTGGACTACTGGGGATACACAAAGATCCAATATTCCTCTGATTTAAAGCTTTCAGGCAGATTTTCAGAGATTTCTGTTTTATTTATAGCTAACATGTGTGGAGAGAAATAAAATGGTCATGTAACATGCTGTGCAATGGTCTTATTGCACATGGTCTTATTTTGAAGGACAGAGTTGGAAATCCGGCTATTTCTACCTTAAACATTAAGACAGGGATAGACACAAAGAAAGAAAAAGCCAAAAACAGTCTCATCACAAACACTATTAACTTACGTATTCGTGCAGATGGTCATCGTAACTGTTACAGTCACTTAACAGTTAAACCTCTGCCCTCCTTCCACTCCTTATGGCCCACACTGATATCTTTATGTTACAAGGAAACTCTGACCTGTCTGGGTGTTCTAATCCATGAAGTTTTAATATTCTCTTGCTTGAAACTTGAGTAGGTGCTCTCCACCTGTCCTATAGAAAATTGGAAGTCTGTTCATAAAGTGGGCAAAAAATGTGTGCTTTAGTGTAAAAAAAAAAAAAAAAAAAAAAAAAAAAAAACACCAAAAACAGAATTAGTAAAAACAAAGAGTATATTCCATCTTCAGAATATTTTAAGCATCTGCACAGACAAAAATATTAAATGAAAATGCACACAATTTTATTTCACAGGGATGCGCTGGATGCTTGGCCATCTGCTGAAAATGTAAGGCTGCCAAATATCACAGATTCACACCTTGAGTCTGGAAATTGAGTTCACATGGCAAATCCATGCATCTCTTGTGGTGCCTGCATTCCACCAGCCCTTCCTTGACTGACTACTTAGTTTTTCACTTCAGTGACTTCTAAGCTGGATTGCTTCACAGTTTTTGAAAGAGCAGAACCCAGTCTTGCAAAGTCCCACTGACTACTCTAGAGCTGCTAGTAGGGTGTATGCTAGACATAATTTTAGAAATGGGGAATGTAAGAACATCAGAGTGCATGATCATGGCCCCTGCTCAAAGCCACTGGCAACTAGAAAGGAACGGTGTTATGCAGTCCTAGAAAAATTCTTCCCTTTATTCTTGAAAAAGTAATCAAAAGGAAAATCCTTAAAGATTGAACCTTAATGGGCCATCAGCTTAAACAACAAAAAAACCCTGAGACTTCCTTGAGGATCTCACTTAACACAGCCATACTTCTAATTCATATAAACCTATTCCTTGTGTCCAGTTAACTGAGAGCGTGTGACCAGTGTCCTCCTAACCTAAAGGGAGTTAACAAGATCAGGACAAAGGCAACAGCAGCATAACAAAGTTTCAGGCAGTCTCACTGAAAATATCACACAGATACATTATCTGGCCACTGTCTGTAGCTGATTGCTTTATGGTGAGATTCGCAAGACAGTGCAAAAGTCACCCTTACAGTTGTTGAGTCTGGCAGGAAGTACATTCCTAGCACCTACTGGAAATTGGCAAGACAACAAATATAGATTGCACCAGTTAATGCTCAGAAGCCTACCTAACATTAATGTTGGTTTTCATAATGTTTCCTGGTACATTAAAGTCATTTTTAAGCTCTTCAATTATTTACCAGATAGATAGCTAATTAGCCAGCCATCCACTCACAGATTTTTATCACTGAAACTCTGGCATACCTCCAGTGCCCTCACAGCTCAGAGCTCCGGGGTCCACATCTAGCTAGAACACAACTACACGTACCTCTGTGACTGCAGCTTATATTGCTTTACTCCCCCCTGGAAGTAGACTAACTATTGCAAGCACTGCCATCACTATGCCTACAACAAAAGGCTGCAAAGTTAAAGAAAGTAAGGTCCAAAAAACTGGACATACATTCAGACTCGTTGCTTTCACTAAATTATTTGTTCATAATTGTTCATTATTCGTCTTGCCTGACCCACCTAGTTCACAGGTAGCTCTGGTAGCATCGCTGAGCTGTGCTCACTGCTCCACAAACTCATCTTGTGTAACAAAAGGCACCTCATCTCCTTTATTTTATGTTTTGATGCCTGTAAGGAATATTTCTCACTGAATATCTGCCTCCTTGGGTCCAGGACACGTGCTGAATGATGTGCCCTCTTCTGTGGATTGCAACAGAAACCTCAAAGAGCATTTCTCAAGATTAAACCTCACCTGTTTAACCTGCAAAATAGGAATAAGCCTCACCCGCACCTTAAGATTTATGTTAAGAGCACTCACGCAGTAAAGCTTGCTGCCTTCCCTGCCCATAATGGGACACGCACAGCACCCCTTGAAATTAGGAGGTATATGTAATACCTTCTCCCTTCCAATCTATTGCCATTATTTGAAAATCACTTCCTCCTCATCTCTTCTGAAGGTCTTCTGGTTGGTTTGCTTTGGATTTTTGGCCGGTTGGTTGGTTTTGTTTGCGAGGGAAAGCTTGGTGCCGATTCCTGCTGCCACATTTGATTTGCAGAACTCTGCAGTCACATAGCACACCATCCGTCTGCTCGTAAGCCAAGTGGATTTCTCAGAAGTTGAGCTTTATCGGCTGTCTCTGGGGCTTTCCCAGTGGGATAGAAAGAAATTAAATTTAAACCCGGCTTTAAATTATTCAGAGGTAATTGAGTCTGGAAAGTCATACTCGAGAACGATCAGCCGGTAAAGTAACAAAATGCGATTTTGGGAGAGAGGAAATGGGGAGGATTTGGGAGAACTGACGCGTCACACCAGGCACAACGAAACCGCTGCTGTTATCGCTCCTTGTAGTGCAGGGCACGAGCTGCTCCTTCATCCTGGCGATGCGGAACGCAGTTCCCTGAAAGGACTCCCCAGAAGGAACCGGCACCGCACCGAGCTTCGCCCCGGCATCTCTGGCCAAACTCCACGTCTCCACCGCGCCTGCGCGCCCCCGCCCCGTCGCCAGGACGACAGCGGCCCGCGGCATGTCGCTGCCCGAGCCCCTGCGGCGCCGGCTGGGCTCCTTCAGCCGCACCGTTTTCACCGACAGCCGCCGCGCCGGCCCGCAGTACCCCAGCGAGCGCGCAGGTAAGCGCGGCCGCCCGCCAGCAACAAAAATGGCGGCTGGAGCAGCCGGGGCGGGGGAGCGCGGCCCTTCCAGGAGCCAAGATGGCGGCGTCAACGGTCACCTGGCGGCCGTCAGGGCGGGGCGCGCTGTGGTTTAAAAGCGCGTGCGTTTGCATAAAGCGTTACGGGTAAAGTCCTTTGTTAGGCCGGCGCCAGGCTGCCAGAACGAAAAGCATACGGGGTTGTAGAGAACACCAGGAGCAAATAGAAGAACTGAGCTGCTGCTCTGAGCTCAGCAGCCCTCACAGAGGATGGACTGCAGTGCGTGAAGAGGTGTGCCCGTAAGCTGAACTTAGACAGAAGAAACTCAGACTGCAACGTCCCTGCTTTCTCCTCCCTCATCCAAGTCTAAAAGGACCATCCCTGAGGACATAATCCATACCCATAAGAAATGAGAGTTTTTCCTTAGTCCTATTGCCAGGGAAACCTGCAAACAGCCCACAGTTTTATTCCTTTGCAGTGACGGGAGCCATGGAAATAAACTGTCTGCATAGGCAGGTTAAGTTCATGGAGGTTAACATGAATTTCAACCGATAAATCCATTCCAAGGTGATTAAAGTTATTTCAACACAGGAGCACTCATTAACTTTATGTAGTTGTGCCAGCACAGCTACACTACTAGCATACGTATCAGTACCTCCTTTCATGTATCAGACAACACTGAAACATTCCCTAGGCTCCCAGAACAGCTTCTCTTTCAGTCATTTCAGTCTTCTTTTGTGAAAATTCTTACGAGAAGCCTCAGCTTATTGAAAGCAATGGCAAATGTATCATGAATTTCTTTGAGGCCAGGCATTCAAGTCTAAAGTTCACACTCACATATTTCAGGGAGTTGCATCAAATTTGCCAGTGCAATACAGCCTGGCATTTTCCTGTATTTTTGCTATTCTAGAAAATAATCACAAGTTCAACTTAGGGATAAAAAGATGAATTATAATTTGCTTGTATTTCTATGCATTCATTCAAAAAATAATTTTAAAACCTGAGCAGAAATTAAAAATACCAATACTGGGTCAGTTCAACCTTTAATGTACCACAATATTTTCATCATCACAATTTAAATTGGAACTCTTGGCTTCTCTCTTTTTACATATGGCTACAAAGCATTGCAATTTCATCTAATACAAATTACATGCAGAGAAGAAACAGTGTTACTTGTGCTTGGATGGTCTTGTTTTTTTGAAAGATGAATATAGAATCATAGCATCCTTGGAGTTGGAAGGGACCTTTAAAGGTCATCTAGTCCAACTCTCCTACAACAAACAGCTAGATCAGTTGCTCAGAGCCTGGTCCAACATCTTTTAAAATTGTATCTGAGTGTCCTCACAAGTCCACAGACTGATTTGTTAGGAGAGCTGAAATAAATTTAGATAGGCAGTAAAATCGTTTTTGAAGTACCTATAGATTTTCATTCCTTTGTAGATGTAATAAAGTGTTGATGCTGAAAAATGGGATTATTAAAAATAGATACTGGTTTTCTCGCACTTTCTATTTCAGTTTAATCAATTCCTGCCCCTCACATCCTGTCCTTAAGGTCTGTCCCAGTTCTATTCCCAAATACTCCTCCCCTCCCATGTAGTCTAGTAACTACCCTGAATAAATGCTCCTGCATCTGGCATAAAGACTTCTGGAACAGATTGTACCAGGATGCATGTGGCTGAACTGGAAACAGGAATGCCAGACTGAGATGGAAGAAAAACAGGTATGGAAATAGTTGGTACAGAAAGAGAAGACAGTGTCAAAAGAAGGGTGGTTCTGAGTTTGGAAGGAATAACATGTGGCTGTTGGACTAAGTTCCTATTGAATATCATCATGACGGACAGGGGAATAAGACTTGAATACAAAGCAGGTCACAGTGAATACTTTCTAAATATGCTTAGATGCTATCTTCACCAAGTGAAGATTTACCTACAGACTTCACTTGACGAAAATGTAAGAAGTAGATCTGTTGGTAATTAAAGTAAATTTGTTGTAATATAAACTTATTAGTTAATATGGCAATAAATGGTTTGTTAAAAGTGAACCATTGAATTGGAATGCCCTTAAAATTTTTCCTTGTTTTCAGTTTGATCTTTTAAAACTATGATTAAATTCTACACACTGAATTCTGCAGACTTTAAATTCTGTTTGCTGTTTTTCTTCATTGTATCAACATATTTTGTTCTTACCATTCTTTAAAAGACAAGTTTCAGCTTGACACATATTTGAAATTCTTTAATCAACATCTAAAACAATTACAGGTTTCTTGCAATGTTACTTTTATCCATGTTTATTTAAAGACTCAGAAAACAAGAATGGGCATTATATGCCTAGAATCTGCTCAGGCAGGTCATCTACAAAATGAAGATAATCCAGTATGTACTCATCTAAACTCTGACCATCCTCTTTAGAGCAGCAATAAAATTAGCACTTCCTATTTCTGCAGTATCAGTATACTGATATGCAAATGTATATATGCAGTACTTGAGCTAAGCTTATCGGTCAGGTTTTTGACTGTCTGGTATTTCATGGCTTACTCAACTTGAATTTATGACTACGTGATAAAAATTCTGCATCATGTGAACTGGAAGTTGGATTAGATGGTAGGAAATAATATAGCCTAAAATGAGATAGATTAAAAAAAAAAAAATACTTTTAACACTTAATTTGACTGAGAAGTGTTAATGCCCTCCTTGAAGCTAAGAAGGAGCACAGACTTTCTGTCAGTTACTGAAAGAAGTTATGGAACAAACTAGGAGTGATAAAGACTTCTTTTATCTGCAGATAACGAAATACTTTCCAGTTTACCACTACAGATGTCCCTCTATTTCAACGTTTACTTTTTCCCATTTTGGTGGCTCAGCACAGTTGTTATGCTCCAGCTGAAGGTGAGTCCTGAAGGAAAATAATGATTTGCAAGTGTAAATTTTCTTATCAAAACCCGCCAGTACAGAGATGGAAGTCACTGGAGTTAGAATTTAGTAGGTTTGTTTGGGGGAATCCTTGAAACTGGAGTCTTAAGAATATTTGAATGCTGATATAGCACTGTCAACTTACAGTAGCATACAGTGTGTTCATTTAACAGCTGTGTTCATGTTATAAAGAAGCATGGCAGAAGCTTTTACTCTTTCCTTCCCTCTAGTATCCAGTCTTGTCAGATTACTACAAATTCATCCTGGTCACAATCATGATCCTGACTTCTCTAATAGAGGTCATTCGACTCTACCTGGGATACATGGGCAACCTGCAGGAGAAGGTACGTTACCATATGTATGTTTTAATTTGTAGAGGAGAGCTTTTTACAACTGAGCATAAATGAAGCAATCTGCCAGTTCATCTGAGAGATGTTGATTAGATGGTTATTTCTGAGTGGTATTGTTTACCTTCTATTACCTTAGCATCAGCTTCCATTAACTTTTGTGGATTTCTCCCTCAGAGGTGACCACTGTCACTCCTTAAAACTTTTTTTAAGATACAATTTCTGTTAAAAACACATGATATGGAAACATTAAACCATCTTATTTTCCATTTCACATTATGTCCTGGCTTTTGGAAGATTTATTTTTAAAAAATGGTTTTCTCTACCAACTTTAGTTCCCCTCTTTTTTTTTCCCCTCATCTCTAACTGCCGGTTTTCAGATGGTGATGTCTCCCTGTTACAGGTCCCTGAGCTGGCTGGGTTTTGGCTCCTGACTCTCCTTCTGCAGTTACCTGTAATTCTCTTCTTGCTATTTAATGAAGGTCTGAACATTCAACCATTGGAAAGATCAGTTAATATCATCTTTGCCCTCTTCCTCATCTTCCAAGTTATTGCAGCCTTTGTCACCCTGAAAAGAATGGTAAACAAACTGGCAGCTCACTTCCACCTTAATGAATTTGACAGGCTAGAGGAAAACCCTGCGCGTCATCATTATGGCTCAAGTAAAGAAGGGAATATACTTCCCATGGCTAGTATGGGTCCATGCTGAGGAGCATCATACAACAAGTTTGGGCTGGGGATCAAGCACTTAGGGCCTGAGACACTAACAGAGGCAGGCCTTATGATGCTACGACTCTGTTCCATTTTGTTGGGTCATTATCTATATTTCTACTTCAGAGACATTAAGAAATAGACCATAAGTGCCAACATTAAACCTCAGAGTTGAGCTCCACTCTGCAAGAAAAATCAAAGCCAGTGATGTAAGTTGCTGAATGGACCAATTAATTTGCACACTGTTACTGGGTAAAGTACCTACAGGGTAGGTTTGTGGGTTTTACATCTTAAAAAGTCATGTGCCATTTCTAAAGAACAGAAATCTATTTTCCTAACTGTTTGCACACAGACGTATTTTGTTTACAATAAATCCTTTTTGTATGTTTGTATTTACATCAGTTTTTTGTCTATTCTTCCAGATGCTGTAGATATGTAGTTAAGCAAAAACAAGCAAGAATCTTGAAGCCTAGAAAAAACAGTAGGGGTGGCATTGATGAGAGACTACAGCTTGAGGTGGTCTTCCAGATAATTCCAGCACTAGGAATTCCTTACTAATAAACTAGGGTGGAGTTTTGAAAGTATTCTTTTGCTCAAAACTCCTGCACTCCTCCTCTTTGGCTTAGCTGGAGTTTTAACTATCAAGCCATTCAAAATGAACAGTGCAATTTTCTCAGACAGAAAATTCAGTAAGTCAGATGTAGCAAAATTATAGACATAAAAAAAAATTGGTTTATGTCACAGGACACTACGTATGCCACAGTTCTCTCATTTCTGTTTGTATTGATGTCTAGACTATCATCTTCAGTTTCAGTAATTGCTGAATGCTCATTTTTTTCTGTCAGGGAGGGATAAAATAAAATACATTTTTCATCTGAATCCTTAGTCTTCAGTAGGACAAAAGTAAGCAATTTTCAGAGCTGGCACAAACATCCAGACTGCTTGAAGAAAGGTAAAGAAGTCTGATGTGAAAAAGGCAGAGTATACTTAAAGCTGATGTGTGGTTAAAGCTCATAGAACCTTTGTGAAAAAGGAAAGCGTTGCGCTTTGTTTTATGCCAGAACTCTTTGTTTCAGTGCATGAGTGAACGTACAACACATTCTATTGAGTTTCCTTTTCTTATTTTGTTATTGTAGACTGTACACTATCAAGGCACATACCCCTTCATTTTTAAACAAAATGCTTCTACCAACAGCAGAACTGGCTGTTGTGCAGAGAAAGAGCATCAGAAACTCCTTGTAAAGACATTCCTAACCGATGCAGTGGGAATATTGTGCATGTTTTCATATCAGTTACATTGCTGCAGAGTATTGAGGCCAAGGCTGATGAGGTAGAGAAGAAACTTGTAGGACTCATTACAATGACAGATAGCAACATAACAGATCCTAACAGCCCAAACAGAAGCATCATAAACCTTGGAGCTTTTTTTTCCCCAATAACTGTGTAGTGTATCTCAAATGTCTTAGTGCTCTGTAGACATTCAGTCTCCTCTTGACGCAATACAATGGGAATAACTTCAGAGACTGCCTTTCTCTATAGAGGATAGAGTGCAGACCTCCAAGGAGCTCAGCTCCACCAGTAAGAATATCTGGGTGTTACAGAAGTACAGAATAACAGCACAGTGGGAAAGCTGAGCACTGCTAGTTTTCAGTGCCTTCCAGAAAGCAGCATCTTTTCCTTATGTGCACCTACATGCAGTAAACTAAGATCTGAAGAGACAGAGTGATGCACCTATAGTATTCAAATTTCTTGCTTGCACTAGAGAATGCCACACTCTGTTTTTCTTCCGGTATCATCTTAAAAAGTTTAAATTTATTCTAAGATAAGAGTGTAATGAGTGGGAAGGCTTCTGACACCAAATACATCACATACAACATGATGGGGCTGAAAAAAATTCAGCCATTTAATACTGACAACAGGGAATTGGTCTCCAGGGCTAAGGCTGCAAGGCGTGATTCAAAATCCTTGCTTTTAGTGATAAGGAAGCCATAGGCTTGGAAGATCAATTGCTATGCAAGATAATTACCGGAAGCCAAAGATAAATGGATACACACCCCTCTGCTGGAGAGAGAAACAGAATATTGATGTGCTGACACAGATAACAGCATTCAGACTGACTGTTAGATTTGCCTGGAAATGCTGAAGGTACAAACCAGTCCAGGACATAAAACTTCAGCAACATGCTTCATAAATCCAAGACCTCTGCACTGTCACCACCCAGGTTTCATAGCATAGTCTTTTTTTTAAATTCCATTACCAGCTTAAACATTCAACTATGAAGCCAGCCTGCCACTACCTAAAAACTTCACATTCTGAGTCTACAGCTGCAATTTTTCCACAAATTTCCCACTCCTGCTACCCAGAGGCAGGAGAAGAAAAGTACAGTAGCATTCAGGAAGACAAAGCAGTGAATGAGGACATGCAATGAAACTTTCCCTTCAGATGCTAAATTTCACAGGAACTGGTGAATCTTAAATACAGCAGTTACTTGTAGCACAGCCAGATTTCAGACATGAAAAAAGCAAGTTTCAGAAACTTTCAATAAACATGTAGAGAAACAGTGACATACATGAGGAGGAGAAAAAGAAGACTTCACAGAAGGTGCTTGCACATTACATATAAAGGGAGGAATTTCTATGCATCAGGAACACAGAACCAATAATGGCATTTATGTCTTAAAGAAAAATAAAAAAGCTTTATGAAGATTAGAAAGAGTTGCCAGAACAAACTGGAAGCAGTGACAAGTATGGGAGAACTTCCAAGGGATGTTGCAGGAAGGCTGAGTCCTTCATAAATAGTCTTCTTTTAGTTACTCAGGTAACTATGAAGGTATGTTAGCCCACAATTGGAAGCACGTATCTGTCTCATGGTGCAAAGCACTCATGAGTAGAATGGGAGGATTTAAAATGCAGCAAAGCAAGTTGCAAAGGCTTTCAGTGTGGTTTGTTTTTTCCTCTATGAAAGGGAAGAAGCTTAAGAACACTGGAAACTGCAGTGGAAGTTCATCATAAAGCCACATAGCATCTAGACAGTTTTGAAAGTAAGCTGTACAATAGCACCTTTTTGTTACATTGCAATTTGTGCAGAGAACTACTATTGTTTGGTGGGGTTTTTTTGTTATTTTTATTGTTTTTTTAATAACTATCTTTTTTTTAATAACTAACTCACTATCAGTATGTTCCCCTTCACTAGGGAGATCTTTGAATAGCAGAAATCTGTGAAGAACTAAACCCTGCATGTATATTACTTCAGCAAGTTTACTGATAGGAAAGGTCAACAGACAGTTTGAAAGGAAATTTGTACTGACATTCTTCCTTTAACTAAAGATGAAGTACTGGCATATTGCCTTAAAATTCTATTTTTAGATTACTGATCAATCTGAAGATGGATTATTTTCATTCAAGGGCATTGCTGCTGAGAGTCAGCATGTATTCTTTGTCAGAAATGGACATTGTAAAAGGATTATTAGTATTTTTTTAAATAGTAGGCTGGACTTCTGAGAAAGGGAAATTAAATTCGGAAGAGGCTTCACTTGTGTACCTTGCTTAAGCAGATCTGATAAGGCAGACATAAGATAAGGGACAGATTTGATAAAACCAGACAGTTTGTAGAAGGAAGGGTGCAGCAATGACCTTTCTATAATTCACTCTGATCATACATTTCACTCTTGCCATTGTCTCTTATGAACAGAATGGAGTTAGCTTTAATCTAAATTTAAACAGTTAATGAGCTGGTAGAATCGGCACCATTACTGAGTCTGTTAAGATAGTCAATAGTAATATTTGATAGCTAGGTAAGGCTTCAGACATCATTTATTTTGAAAAACAAATTTTGCTTCTCTAGGACGAAGATCAGATAGCAGATAAAAATAAAGAGGTCTTCTATAGGAGGCAGGTAAATCACTATATAAGGGTAACTTATAAGGGCAAGAAAAAAAACTAAATAGGTTCAAGAAGCATGGGGGAAATGAATATGCTGATATTAGATGCCTCTGAAAGAGTGGAGAATTTATTAAAGGGAAACAAATGTGCTGAATTACTGACTTGAAATCTTACAGGGTTCAGGGGAAACGTTATTCCACAAGCTAAGCAGGAGCTTACAGGACACAAATCCATGTTCATTGAATAAATACAACTTATGCTTGTTATGAAAAACACCTTCTACTTCAGATGTTCCAAGGTTTGAAGGTAATAGAAATATCACGTTTGGGAAGCATATACTAGCCAAGAAACATGAGTATAACAGGGAAACCACAGAGAAAAGCAGAAGAAATCTGGCAGACAGCTACAGAAATGACCGTGCTAAAACCTATGGCTTCCTAGGTGGATTGAGGAAGTATTAGTGACTTCCCTAGAGCATCCAGTGCTAGGGAAGAAGTTCCTGCAGTCTATGAAAGAAGCCACTGTTTTTCTTTAAGGGATAGAAGGGCCTTTCTCTATTCACGTTTGTACAGCCGTGCTATTTCCGAGTCAAAAATGCAAGCCAAAATGTTTGAACCCTGTTTAATTACCCTGTTTCAGTTTATTCAAGCCACACCCTAAACTGAATTCATTAAGGTGAGAAGAACATTGGATAGACTTGCACCCAGTCACTCATACTGCAAATACGAGGGGGATTTATTTCATATAACTTATATTCATATTCATATATTATTCATATAAAAAAGTTGAGGGAGCTTTGTTTGTTCAGCCTGGAGAGGAGAAGGCTCTGGAGAGACTACTTTACTGTGGCCTTCCAGTACTTGAGGAGAGCTTCTAAGAAGGAGGAGGGAAACTGACTTTTTACATGGTCCGATAGCAATAGGACAAGAAGGAACAATTTTAAACTAAAAGATTGGAGATTTAGATTAGATATTAGGATGAAAAATGGAAGGTGGAAGGGCACTAGCACAAGCTGCCCAGGCTGGATGGGATCTAGAGCAACCTGATCAAGTACTTGACCTAGTGGATGGCAACCCTGCCCACAGATTTATTTTTAAACTAATGACACCAAAAGAAATAAAAGGTCTCATTCTAGTAGCCATTGAATTCCCATTACCCTGTGCCTGAAAACATACGTGTGTATAATCTCCAAACAGAAAAAAATTCCACCTCTACACAAGACACACAGAACTGTAGTAAGAATAAAAGCAAGGAAATGAGCATTTCAACTACATACACACATGAACTCTTGTCTAGTAATAGGAATTATTAAAAAAATCAAAGAAGCAACATCATCAGGATTGTCTTGACTCCCTGCTCCTGGGAGCGTGGCAGGAACTGACAATTAAAAACAGTACTTTGGGGCATTCTTTCTTAGGAGAAAAGAATCGGCTGTAATTCATGCCCCAGGAAAGCAGGTTGAAGTCACCCACAAGGACAAGAGCAGCCGATCTAGAGATATTCTTTAAGAAAGTG